ACATCATCAACATCAATATCATCCTGATCATCATCACCAGCAGTGGCATCCGCGTCGTCATCATCATTGTTTGCTGTCATCATATGATGACCTGAGCACGTGCATTATCATCAGCAGCAACAACAGCATCACCATCAGCATCAACAACAGCAACAGCAGCCATTACAACAACATCAGCATCACCATCATCAGCATCATCATCATAGTCATCACAAGTGTATCATCAGCATCATCGTCAGAATCAGCATCATTGCTGCCCTCATCTGCAACAACAACACCATCATGGTCATCGTCGTCATCATCACCACCACCACCACAACAACCAGCATCATATTCATCATCACCATTGGTGTCATCATCATCATGGTCCTTATCATGATCATCATCAACATCGTCGTCATCAGCATCGTCATCATTGCTGTCACCAGAATCTTCACCATCATCAACGACAACGATAACACCATCATGATATGATCATCATCAGAACCATCGTCATTATCATCAGCATTATCATCGTCATCGTCATCAGCATCATCATCATCGTCATCATCACCATAGTCACAAAATACCCTAAGTAGTGGCCCTGAGTGTGACCCTGGGTGAGGAAGAGGACGAGGAGGAGGAGGTAAGTGGAAGGAGCCCATCTTAGGGTATGGAAGACAGCAAATGGAAAAACAAAGAAAATTGCCTATCGGAGCTCTCTCAGCAGTTTGGAGCCCTCTTTGGCCGTCTTAGATGCCTCGTGGGCAGCTTCGAGCTTCGAAGCAATGGAGGGCGGGTTACAGCCGTTGGAGGGCCCTGTGGGCCTCCTCCAAGACCCGCTTGGCGTGTCCAGGCTCATTTAGGGGGCCGTCTTGGCGCCTCTTGGGCAATCTTGGGTGCCTCTTGGGCCGTTTTGCCTACCTCTTGGGGCGTGTTGAGGCCACCGTGGGCGCCCATTGTGCCGTCTCGGTGCCATCTCGGAGCGTCGGGCAGCGGAGCTGGCAACCTCCCGAGAACCTTCGAATAAACAAAAGCAAACCAATGATGCTTGCTTACTTGGGCTCCCTCGGAGAGCAGTCTGGAGCCCTCTTGGGCCGTCTTGGATGCCTCGCGGGCCGCATCGAAGCAATGGCGGGCGTGCTGGGGCCGTTTGGGAGCCCTCCGGGCCTCCTTCAGAGCCCTTGTGGTGTGTCCAAGCTAATTTGAGGGGCCGCCTTGAGCCCTCTGGGGCGATCTTGGGCGCCACTTAAGCCGTCTTGGCGCCCTCTTGTGGTTTGTTAGAGCCGATGTTGGGGCCCTCCTGGACGCCTCTGGTACCATTCCGGGCGTCGGGCAACAAAGCAGGCGACCACACGAAAATCATTCAAAAACCCGATTGAAATCAATGATTTCAATCCTTGAACCTCTCTCAGAGAGCAGTTGGAAGCTCTCTTGGGACGTTTTGGAAGCCACATGGGCCATCTCGAGGCAACGGTACATGTGTTGGGGGCATCTGGGTGCCCTCATGGCCCTCTTGGGGGCACTATTGACGAGTCGAGGCTCGTTGGTCCCCCATGCGGCACTGGGGCACTGGTCAAGCTCCCTCCCCCTTGGCCCTACTCATATATACATGTACATACAAATGCATGTATAGATGTGTGTATATATACATACATACATACATACATACATACATACATACATACATACATACATACATACATACATACATACATACTTCATACCTATCTGCATACATACATACATTACTATCATACTTACATGCATGCATACATACATACATGTACACACATACATACATGCATACATACATATATACATATACCTATACCTCTGCATATGCATATGCATGTACACATACATATACATATACATATACACATACATACATGCATATACATATACATATACATATACATGTACATATACATATACATATACATATGCATATACATATACATATACATATACATACATACATACATATACATGTACACACACCTACACATATACATATACATATGCCTGTACATGTACATATACATATAGTATGCATATAGACGTTGTTATTCATATATAAATATATGTATAAATTTGTACATTAATACACATATACATGTATTTATGTATATGTGTATATACATATGCGTGTATATATATATACAGATGCATACATATACACATGAACATGCACATATACCTGAACATACATGTAGATATCAGCGTACCTCTAGAGCTATATATCTATATATACATACACATACATATGTGTGCAAATATGCGTACATATACAGATTTCAGCATACATGTACATACGCATACAAAATCAAGTATACATACACATTCACATATACAAATGCATTTACCTATATGTATACGTAGACAAATACATATACCAAACAATCTACATGTGCCTGCACACATAAATATACATGTACGTGCACATACACACATACAGCTACACGTGCATACACGTATACATTTTCATCTACGTATACATATAACCAAACATGCACATTTCCGTATACATATGCCCATACATGCATGTGTAGAATCTACCTATACAATATACACATACATGCGCATATACGTAAACATGCGCATATACATATACAAGCCCTTTGAAAGATGAATGTACCTTACAGATACACATATACAGTTGTGAATATATATATATATATGAATATATGAATATATGAATATATGCATATAGACACGGAAATCGATGTACATACGTGCGTGTACGTATCCATATACATATGCATCCACATACACCTTTACGTATATACAGATACATATAAACATACACACATACAAACCCCATACACAGATACCCGAAAATACACATTATAAATACATACACACATAGATTACAGTGCACATGCACATATACATTCACAACTAAGTAAACGCCTACATATACGTATTCCTATACATAAACATATACATACACATATACATGAACATATACATAGACATAAATCGACATGTATACGTATGCAGCCAGATACCCATGTATGCAGACAGATGCATGTATATGTATATGCATAGACATATATATGTATACCTATTGTTATGCAGACAGATACACATAAACATAAACGTAAACATATGCCAAAACATATGCCTATGCCTATACATATACATATGTAAATATCTACATATGCATACATATGTATGTATATACATGAACCGGCACGCACATGTAGATTTAAGTTCACATATTCATTTTCTATACCTACAAATATACATATACATTACATATACATGTACACTTAAATGTGCGTATAATGTCATTTACATAGATATATTCATTTACAAAATCGACAAACCTAAACACACCCATTCCCATGTAAATATACATGTACACGTATACGTACAAACGTATGTACACAAGCATACTGACATGCATATACAGACGCATACAGATATATATGTGCATAGACATATACATATACATGCACATGTACATGTACATGAGAACACGTACACGCAGACGTACACATTAATTTACATACGCATCTACATTCACACATACCTAGTTCTATACGTAAACATACACCGATACACTTACATATATATTTACATACACATGCACTTACACATGAATATATACGTATGAGTATACGTATACATACACATGGATATGAACATACACGTATACATATACATATGCATGTATATACACACATACATGTACATATGCATAGATATACGTATACCTGTCAAGATACGTAGACTTCTACATAAACATATACGCATGGCTTCACATACACATATAGAACTACATGTATATATATATATATATATATATATATATACGCACCTGCATACACATGCACATGCACATACAAAAATACAAGTATCTACAGAACTACATGTACATATACGTGTATAAGTACAAGTACGCATATATCCACATATACATTTGTACATGTCAAACCATTTACATGTACAAGAATGCATACACATACATGTACATATACATAGACATGTGCACCGGCATGGCTGCTTTCCATGACTGCTCCACTAGATCGTGTCGCCATATACACCTACATTCTCTTCATATTTAGACACCTACATATACATGTGCTCATGCATACACACATACATGTACAGTTGCAGATACATTGACCTAGACATAAACATATACGTATGCATTTACACATCTATATATATACACATACCTATACGTACACATATACTCCTACATATGTATATGCATATGCACAAACGTATACCTACATCAGTATGTAGCATTCTCGCTGTATATATTTAACCACACACACACACGCCACACGGTCTGGGCGTTTCGCCTACGACCTCTCATCGCTCTTGATCCTGGAGCTAGACATCCCCAACCGCTGGAAGGACAGAGGGCGGACCCTTTTCTTCATGGAGCTCCCGCCTTGGCGCGGGCTTTAACTAGCGAAGAAACATCATGTGGCTGTTGTTTTTGTTCTGGGCGCCTCTCTACCTTTCAAATTACACCCCTTGCTGTCCAACACGACTTCGCGTCAGTATCCGTCCCCTTGATGGCGATCTCCTTGCTCCGATCCTGGACCCCCCGCGGCAGCGCCGCCGTCGTCGCCGTCGTCGCCCGCGGAAGCGCAGGATCAGGCAGCATCGAATCGGGAAGTCGAGTCGACTCGAAACGTGCGTCGGGTCGGGCTGCATCGGCACGTATGGACCAGAAAACAAACGACACCACCCCACCTACGGCCCCAGGGAGCTTTGCGTATACCAGGAAATCTGGCGTAGGTTTTTGAATGGTATGCGCTACGGCTCCTGATGGTCCGTAGCAACATGGAGGGCCGTAGGTATGGTGGTGTCGTTTGTTTTTTCGGTCGAACGGAATCGAAACCGAATCGGATCGGTCGCGCCAGGCTACACAACCGCATGGAAAATCGAAACAGCATTGGACCGGGCCAGCCGAAATCAAATCGGATCGATCGGATCGAATCGGAATGGGCCCTACCGTGGTCGACCGCGGCAACGGCGGCGGCGGCCGCCACCACCTCGCCCTGCGCCGCGCCGCCACGCGCCGTCAGCGCGGGAGCGCCGGCGTAACCGGCGGTGGGCAGGGCAAGGCCGCCTGCGCGGACCGACGACGACGACCCCGCCGACGACGCCCCCGACAGCGACGCCGCCGCCGACGACCCCGCCGACAGCGACGACGACGACGTCGACGACGACGACGACGACGAAGACGACGACGACAAGGCCGCCGACGATGACGCCGACGAGTGCGCTGGCACAGCCGCTGGCGAGGGCGCCAACGAAGACGCCAGCGAGCGCGCCGACACTACCTCTGCCCGACGCCGACATCTACGACGACTGCGACTACGATGACGACGGCAACGACGACGACGACGACGACGGCGGCGGCGGCGGCGGCGACTGCGACGCCAACGGCCACGGCGGTGCTCCCCTCTTCCCTCGCCTTCACCTTCTCTTTTCTCCTCCTCCTCCTCCTCCTCCGCCTCCTCCGCCTCCTCCTCCCTCCTCCTCCTTCTCCTCCTCCTCCTCCTCCTCCTCCTCCACCTCCTCCTCCTCCTCCTCCTCCTCCTCCTCCTCCTCCTCCTCCCTCCTCCTCCTCCTCCTCCTCCTCCTCCTCCTCCTCCTCCTCCTCTTCCTCCTCCTCCTCCTCCTCCTCCTCCTCCTCCTCCTTTTTGCCTGCGCTGTGCTCAGTGCGACACTGAAGGTGAATAATAACGAACAGCTCGCGGCTCCTCTCCTTCTCCTCCTCCTCCTCCACAACTACACAATATGAGTACTACTCTCCTCTCTCCCCTGGTGGCGTCCGGGGAATGTCCGGTCCCCCTCCCCGTATTGGTTTTTAACAGACAGGATTCCCGGGAGTTGGGTTTTCGCTTGGGTTTGTTTCAAAATGCTGCTCTCGCTGAAGCGCTGGCCTGCGCACCTAGCTTGTCCTCCCCCCTCCTCGTCCTCCCTCCCATTCCCCCCATCCTGGAGCCCGAGGGCAAGGAGGCCTTGAGCAGTGCAAATTCCACCTGGAAGCCGCTTCCTATCCTTGGGGACACGTCACTCGGCGACCCATCTACAAACCCCCGAATTCCCCTCCACTGTTGACGCGCGGCGCGGATTCGAGACAATCTTTACAGTGTGCCGACTCCCCGTGCATATGACAGGAGTCCATGTGGGGCGATGCCTCGCCAACACTCGGCTCATGCCCCGAAGCAGGTTCCGCGCCGTTCTTCCATCCTCCCTCGTCCAACCCCTCCTCCCTCCCTCCGCGTCCCCCCTCCTGTTCCTCCTCCTATTCTGCTCCTCCTCCTCCTCCTCCTCCTCCTCCGCCTCCTCCTCTTTCCTCCTCCTCCTCCTCCTCCTCTCTCTCCTCTCCTCCTCCTCCTACTCCTCCTCCTCCTCCTCCTCCCCCTCCTCCTCCTCCTCCTCCGTCTGCTGTCCTTATAAACGACTCCTTCCTGTCGCACCCTCTAGCACGTCGGTGAGAGCGGGCCAGGCGTTTCGCCCGAGACCTCTGGGCCGCCTCTGTGTCTCCAGGGCCCACGGGAGCAGCATCTCCAAATGAAACAAAAATGCTGTACGATGGTCGCTCCATGCACCGCGGGGGACTCTCTCTTTGTTCGCTTGGATGCCCGCTCAGGCGACGAAACAAAAAGTGTCTGCCCGTGTTTCATCGACCCGACCCTTGCCCCCAGACGACACACAGAAGATGAGTTTTTTGTTCTTCGCGATAACGCCCCAGAATGAGACGGGCAACGAATGAGGATGCGAACGACGATGACAACGACGAGGACCAAAGAGAGGCAGAGTAAGTCTTGACTGTTCCTGCACGTGCGTTTCCCAGCAGCTGTTGCCCACCCACAGACATAAGTTCGTCGGTGTGGCGTTTTGCCCCGTACCCATGCCACGTTGCCACAATCATGAGGTTTCCTGTGCAAATGGGATCGCACTCCAAAAGTGTCGCACTGTCGTACTGCAGTGTTTTCAATGTTTTTTGTCATTGACAGGAGAACCAAATTAACGCGACGGGGAAGCCCTAGAGATGATGTGTGTATATATATATGCGTGTGTATCAGCCAGCATGGACCCCCAAACCGTATGCTCTAGCATACCACGTGGTGCAACATGTAGTGCATTCTACGTGGTGCACTGTACGACGTGCAAGCTATGTGGTGCAGCATATGTAGTGCAAACACTGTGATGTAAGCTATGTGGTGCAGTCTATGCCGTGCAATATGTGTGGTGCAGTATACGTGGCGCAATCTATCTGGTACAATATTTATGGCGTAAACTACGTACGTGATGTGAACTACGTCATGCAGTCAATATGGTACAGTTAATTACCCTGCACCTCGCGTGGTCACCTCCCATGTTCGTGCGAACATCCCACCCACCCACATAATGTGGTCGGCAAAACCTCCTCGTGCAACGATGACGATGACAAACGCGATGTCCACCCATGCGGCGGCGCTTGTGACGAACGCTTGGCCATGGCTGGCGCATCTCTGCGGCCACGCTGAGGCGCGAACTGGAGTTACCCCCAGGCTCTCATGTGTTCTCTGTCCTGAATCCAGGATACTAGTAAGGGGCCCCGACCATGATTTCCAGACTGTTCGGGCCCCAGTCAGCAGAGCAGCGCTCTGCTAATTTGCCACAGAGCATGCGCACTCGCTGCCCCTCCCCTCATTAGCAGAGCACTGCTCTGCGAATTGGCCTCAGAGCAGGGCTCTCCATCCTGCCCAGGCTCTGCCTAGAAGAGCGCCGCTCTGCGATTTGGCCTCAGAGCATGTGCGCGTGCACTGCTCCTCCCCTCATTAGCAGAGTGCCGCTCTGCTACTTTGACTCAGGGCACGCACACTCACTGCTCATGCTTTATTCACCCGACGGCCCCAAAACGGGCCAAGAGGGCCCCAAGAGCCGCCCAGAGGGTCCGAGAGGCCCCAAGACGGCCCAGGAGCGCTCCAAGACGTCCCAGATGGCCCCAAGACGGCCCAAGAGGCCCCACAGAAGCCCCAAGAGCGATCTGATAGGACCTCCAGGAGGGCCCCAAAATGCAATGGCACTTACTTATGTCCCCTGTGTTTTTTCAATGTGTTTCGCGCTCTCGCGTTTTCGGGCTTCCGACGCTCCAAGATGGCCCCAGAGGGCCCCAAGACCGCCCCATGACGGCCCAAAAGGCCCCCAAGAGGACCCAAAGGCAGAGGCCCCACGAGGCCCCCAAGAGGCCCAAAAAGAGGGTTCGAAAGGCCCCCAAACGGCCCTCAGGCGGCCTCAAAACTGCCCGAGATCCCCGAGAGACCTCCCATGAGATCCCGACGAACATCCGAGAGGCCTCTGACCCAAAATCCGGGTACGGTGGCGGGATGAGCCGAAGGCCACTAGATCCGCCGCCCCCTGCTTGCAGGGGTGCACGGCGTGCTGGACGAGCTGTTAGGTTTTGGTTTTGGTTCTTTTTCCAAAAGAACTCCCCAGTGGGCTCCGGCAGAACCCGCCGGCCACCCGGAAAATCCCCAAACGTGCTCAACGACCGCAAAAAATCCTCCCAACAACGGCCGTTTCGCTCGGGACATCCTCAAAAAATCGCGAAGATGGCCCAAGATGGCCTCCAAGTTCGCCCGAGATGGTCCAAGACGGCCTCCAAAACGGCCCAAGAGAGTCCAAGACGGCCCAAGACGGCCCAAGAGGCCTCCCAGAGCCCTCCCAGACGGCCCAAGAGGCCTCCAAGAGGTCCTCCAGGAGAGTCCGAAGAGGCCAAAATCATTAATTTTCCCTTGGTTTTTGAAGGATTTTGGCATTTGCGCCTTTTCGGCTCTCCGACGGCTCAAGACGGCCCAAGAAGCCCCCAAGATCGCCCAAGAGGCCCCCAAGAGAGCCCCCTGATGGCCCAAGTGGCCTCCAAGATGGCCCCTAGAGGGCCCCAAGACGGCCCAAGAGGCCTCCAACACGCCCAAGATGGCCTCCAAGACGCCCAAGATGGCCTCCAAGACGGCCCTGGAGCGCCCCAAGAGGGTCCCCCGTTGGCCCAGAAAGGCCCCCAAAACGGCTCCCGACGGCGTCAGACGTGCCAGGAACCCACCAAGATGGCCGAAGTTGGCTCGAAGCTGGCCCAAAAGGGCCCAAGAGGCCCCCAAGAGGGCCTCCAGGAAGGCCAAAAGATGCCAAAATCACTGATTTTCCCAAGGTTTTTGATGGATTTGGGCATTTCCCTTCTTTCGGCCTTCCGACGGCCCGAGACGGCCCAAGAGCCCCCAAAGATCGCCGAAAGATCGCCCAAGAGGCCTCCAAGACGGCGATGATGACCATCAAGACGCCCACGTGTTCCCCGAAGGCTTTCCAAACCGATTCGGGGAACACATGGTCCGATGGCTTGGCAGGTCTGGCCTCAACGTTCGGCCACATAGGCGCTTCCACAAAGGCAGGGGGCGGCGGTGATTCGCCGTAGGCGTCTTCGATCCGCCGCCCCCTGTCGATTCATCGCAGGGTTGCCAGACCCTTTGAATTTTGGTTTTGGTTCTTTTTCCAAAAGAACTCCCCCTGGGGCTCCGGCACGTCCCGCCGGCCACCCGGAAACTGCATCAGTCAATGCCTGAAACGGCCGTTTCGCTCGGGACATCCTTAAAAAATCGCGAAGATGGCCCAAGATGGCCTCCAAGTCCGCCCAAGATGGTCCAAGACGGCCTCCAAGACGACCCAAGAGAGTCCAAGACAGCCCAAGAGGCTCCCCGGAGGCCTCCCAGACGGCCCAAGAGGCCTTCAAGAGGTCCTCCAGGAAGGCCCGAAGAGGCCGAAATTCTTGATTTGTTTTTAAGTTTTTGAACGATTTTGGAATTTGCCTTTTCTCGGCATTCCGACGGCTCAAGACGGCCCAAGAGCCCCCCAAGATCGCCCAAGAGGCCCCCAAGAGGGCCCCATGACGGCCCAAATGGCCTCCAAGACGGCTCCAAGAGGGCCCCAAGATGGCCCAAGAGGCCTTCAACACGCCCAAGATAGCCTCCAAGACGCCCAAGATGGCCTCCACCGAGGTGACCCAAGAGGGCCCCCAGTCGGCCCAGAAAGGCCCCCAAGACGGCTCCCGACGGCGTCAGACGTGCCAGGAACCCACCAAGA